GGGGGGGGGACCTACGTGGGATGGTGATAGGTGGATGCAGGCAGGGGGTTATTAGTCAGGGAAAAGCGGATAGGTGAGTACAAAGATGGACAGGTCAGGTCAGGGAGGTGAGGAGGAGGGGGAGGGGAGTGCTGGACAAGGGATAAAGCTGGGGTTGGAGAGATTTTCAAGTTGGTGGAGTCAATATCAAGGCCATTTCACTGTAAGCTCCAAAGGCAAAATATTAGGTGTTGTTCCTCCAGTTTGTGTTTGGCCTTACTCTGACAGTGGTGAAGCCAAGGACGGACATGTTGTCAGGAGAGTGGTTGGAGGAATTAAAATGGATGGCAACCACAAAGTCGGGTTCATTGGTGCATGCACAGAACAGATGCTCTGCGAGTCTGCGTTTGATCTCCCTGATAGAGAGAAGATCACATTGGGAGCAATGGATACAATAGATCAGGTTGGATGAAGCGCAGGTGAATCTCTGTCAGATCTGGAAGGATTGTTTGGACAGAGGAAAGAGGGGAGGTGTGGGGTCAGGTTTTGCACCTCTTGCGGTTGCAGGGAAAGGTACCGGGTGTGGTAGTGAAATTGGTGGGGAGTGTGGAGCTGATGAGGGAGATGCGGAATGAATGGTCCCTGTGGAAAGCAGACAAAGGTGGGGATGGAAATATCTTTTTGGCGGTGGGCTCTGATTGCAGGTGGCGGAAATGTCAGAGAATGATGCGTTGGATTTGGAGGTTGGTGGGATGGTACGTGAAGACTAAGCGGGACTCTATCCTTACTACTGTTGGGGGTGAAGGGGTATGAGCCCAGAAGTACGGGAAACAGAAGAGATGCGGTTAAGTGCATCCTTAATTACAGAGGAGGAGAAATTCCGGTTCCTAAAGTAGGAGGCTATCTAGGATGTCCTGGAGTAAAACGCCTCATCCCGGGAGCAGACAGAACTGGAACCAGCACCAGTCTCTGCGGCAGAACCAGAACCAGCCTGTGAACTGCTCTTGTAGAAAAAGCATTTATGTGGCTAGTTCCGTTCAGTTTCTGGTCAATGGCACCACACCAGGAATGATGATCATGGACAATGCAGCAATGGTATTGCCACTTAGCGTCGAGGGAAAATGGCTGATTTTTCTCTTGTGGGAGACGTTCATTGCATGTAATTGCTTATGGGTGCAATGTCATTTGTAATGTCAACCCAAGCCTGAACATCGTCAAGGTCTTTCTGCGTTTGGATATATAATACGTCAGTTTGTGAGGAGTTGCAAATGGTACTCCTCACAATGCAATCATCAGAAAAAAAATCCTCACTCTAAACGTATGATGAAAGAATGGTCGTTGATGAAGCAGCTGAAGATAGTTGGGCCAACAACACTATTCAAGGAACTCCATAGAACCCCTGATAACACAGTGTGGAGTTGGAGGAACACAGCAGGTCAGGCAGTATACAGGAACAGGAAAGCTGACGTTTCGGGTCAGGACCCTTCTTCAGAAATGGGGGGCTCCATAGAATCCCTACTGTGTAGAAACAGAATATTCGGCTCAACCCTCCAAACAGCATCCCACTCAGACCCAACCCCCAACCTGATCGCAACAGCCCTGCACTTACCATGGTTCATCCACCTAGCATACACATCCTGGGACACTGGGCAATTTAGTACGGTCAATCCACCTAACCTGCATATCTTTGGACTGTGGGAGGAAACCAGAGCACCGGAAGGAAACCCACGTAGACACGGGAGACTGTGCAAACTCCACACAGACAGCCGAAGGTGGGATCGAACCCGGGACTCTGGCACTGTGAGGCAACAGTGCTAACCACTGAGCCGCCCTTTGATGAAGGCATAACTGATCTCCAACAGCATGAATAATTTTTCTTTGGGACACACAGGACTCCAAAAAGTGGAGTTTTTATTTAATTCCCACTGATTTTGTTTTGCTAGGGCTTCTCAGTCAAAACATGCCTTTATGTCAAGAGAAGTCACTCTTACTTTATCATTGGTGTTTAGCTCTTTTGTCCATGACTGAACTAAGACTGTAAAAAGGTCTGGAGCACAGTCGGCCTGGAATAATTCAATCAGAGCATCAGTAAGCAGGTTATTGCTAACCAAGAGCTTCTTGAATATACTGTTGATGATCCCATCATCACTTTACTGATCATTGGGAATAAACTAATGGAGCAGTAATTGGCCAGATTGAATTTGTCGTGAGGAGATATCTAGGCCATTTTCCACATCACTGGGCTGATGCCAGAGTTGCAGCTGCACTGGAACAGCTTGGCTAAAGGCATCACAAATTCTGGAGTACAAGTCTTCAGGACAATTGTGCAACGCTGTCGCAGTCCACAGCCTATGCAGTATCCAGTGCCTCCAACCATTCTTGATAACACGTGGAGTGAATTTAATTGCTTAAGTTGGCATCTGTAACGCTTGGGCCCTCTGGAGTAGCTGATGGATACCGAAAGGAGACCCACTCACTGATCACTTATTTGGCAGTTTCATACCATTAGTTTAAATAGTTTGTCAATTGTTTTAATGGCTGCAAAACTGGCTGAAGAG